CAATGTCTTTGTGGGTTTTGGGGAAATTTTGTTGTTTGATATTTATTTTATTCCACTGTGGTCTGGGAAATTGCAAGGCAGTATTTAAAGCTTGTGAAATTTATTTTTGATTTTTTAATTTAATTTACTCCAAGATTGATCACATCCTTGGCCATGTTTGATATATGACTGAGGATGTGGTCAATCTTGGAGTAAATTCCCTGTGGTAATGAGTGGAATGTACATCCTGTGGTTGATGGGTGGAGTGTTCTGTAGGTATCTACTAAGTCCATTTGGTCAAGTGTCAAGTTGAGGTTCCATATCTCTTTGTTGATTTTTTTGTCTCAATGATCTGTCTAGGGTTGTTAGTGGGTATTCAAGTCCTGAGCTATGATAGTGTTAGAGTTAATATCTTTTTTTAGTTTGCTTAGTAGCTGCTTTATAAAAGCTGGTGCTCCCATGTTGTGTGCATGTATGTTTAGGATGGATAGTTCTTGTTGATGGATTGAACATTTTATCATTATGTAGTGTCCTTTTGTATCTTTTGAAATTTTTGCTAACTTAAAGGTTGTTTTATCTGATATTGCCTTCTTTGTGACCTGTTCACCTGAAAATTTGTTTTCCAACCTTTAACTTTGAGTCTGTGGGTGTCTTGTGTAGTGAGATGAATTTCCTGGAGGCAGCAAATTACTGGGTCATGTTTTTTTAATCCAGTTTGCCATTCTATGTCTTTTCAGTGGTGCGTTTAGTCCATTCATGTTCAGGCTGATTATTGAAATGTAAGAGTTTGTCTTTGACATAATGATCCTATAAGACTGTTTTGTTTTTGTTTAGCTTTTATGTTCATATATGTGTGTGTTTTCATTTTTGTGGGTATGCTGTGTGTTCTGCTTCTTCTGTGTGTGTGATCTTGTGAAGTATCTGGTCTTTCTTTTGTTTCTTTTTTCTTCTGTATACAGCACCTTTTTAAGCATCTCCTGTAGAGTTGGTCTCAAAGCAGCATATTCTCTTAGGAATTGGATGTCTGAGAAGGATTTTAATTCTCCCTAACTGATGAAATGTAGCTTTGTTGGGTAAGAATTCTTGTGAAACTGTTTATCTTTGAGAATGTTAAATATGGGGATTCAATTCCTTCTGGGCTTTAGTGTTTCTGCAGATAAGCCTGCAGCAATTCTGATTGGTCTCCCCTGGTAGGCAGTCTGACTTTTTTCGCTTGTTGCTTTTATGATTTTTTCTTTTATACCTACTTTGTGCAGGCAAATTACTATGTGTCTAGGGATTGGTTTTCTCATAAGATGAATCATTGGATAGAATGAATAAAAATCAAGAAATGCAAGAATCATTGGATAGAATGAATAAAAATCAAGAAATGCAAGAACTAAAACTAAATGAAATTGCAATGGAGCCAGACAGGTTCAAGAAAGTGCACTTAGAAACAACAGGAATAACAGGAATAAGAAATAAATAGCAAACTGACAAGCATGAGAAGCAGAATTGACCAAGCAGAAGAAAGAATATCAGAGCTGGAAGACCAAAGTATGGAATCAACCCAATATATTAAAAATATAGAAAAGTGGTTCTCTGAATCTCTTGTGCTTGCATAGTCATCTCTCTGGCAGATGAGGAAACTTTTCTTGAATTACTTCATGGAATGCTTATTCCAAGGTGTTATCCATTTTTATTTCTATTAAAGGTATTCCAATCAGACATAGGCTTGGTTTCTTCATGAAATCACACATTCTTGGAGAGTTTCCTCTTTCTTCTTCTTCTTTTCTCTATATTTTTAATATATTGGGTTAATTCCATATTTTGGTCTTCCAGCTCTGATATTCTTTCTTCTGCTTGGTCAATTCTGCTTCTCATGCTTGTCAGCTTGCTATTTATTTCTTATTCCTGTTATTTCTAAGTGCACTTTCTTGAGCCTGTCTGGCTCCATTGCAATTTCATTTAGTTTTAGTTCTTGCATTTCTTGATTTTTATTCATTCTATCCAATGATTTTCTGATCTCTTAAGTACCTTCTGGGTACTGTCATTCTAGAGATAGCCAGTGTTTGTGTCCCAGTAGCTGTTCTTTCTAGCACTGACTCTTTGCTGAAACTCTGATGGTTACTGGTAGTTTCGTTGTTTTTTCTTCATTTGTAGCAGTTCTTTTATCTTTCGCCTTGATTCTGTTGCTCAGTGTAAAATGGAGAAGCAGTCACTTCTGATATTTATCTACCTTTTGTCCTTCCTTGGGCCGGGGCTCTGAATTTGTTCAATTATGAAGTAGGGCTGAGGGTGGGGCATAATGCTGTCTCTTTACAATTTTGAGCACTTACTGGGGAAGGGGATGCTGCAAGGATTCTGAACCTATTGGAGGTCATAATGTTTGTTATCCGGTGAATGGGTCAGCTAGGACTCACTGTTTGTCACTGTACAATAGGACCTTACAGTGGGTATGCTTGCATAGTCCCTGAGTCCAAGACAGGGTATAAGTGAGAAAAGAAAGGAAAAAGAGAAAGGAGGAGAAAGAGAAAAAGAGGAAAAAGAAATAAAAAAGAGAAAGAACAAAGAAAGATAAATAGAAGAAGGAAAGAAAAGAGAAAACCAACCAACAAACAAAGCAACCAAATGAAATAATTAAACAAACCAATGACCCCCACCAAAACAAAAACAACAAACAAACGAACAGTAAGTGGTAAAGAGTTCTCAGCTTTAGTATGTCTCTTTGCGAAAGGAATCCCTCTTGTGACTGGTTCTGCAACTGCAGGGCTATTACTGCAGTTTCTCTACCCACTGTTGGAAGCTAAGATGTTAGAATCTTCACCCTCTGCTGCCTGCAATTCATAGCTGTCACACACCTGTGTGAGGGAATAGGGCTGAAATAAGTTGACACAGCGTCTCTTGGGATTGCACCCCCTTTCCTTCCTCTCCCAGCTTTGTCACAACTCCCAGGGCATCCAGTTCACAGCAGGTGAATGGGGCCTCCTGTCTCTGCTCTGCCCTCCTGGTCTCTTTCACTGGTTGCTGGGGTGGAGTGGGAGAGTCAGTTAGGCATTCAGCAGACTCATTCCCTGGCAGTTCTGCTCTCTGTATCTATAGCCCAGCAGTTGGCTCAGGGTGGAGGGTGGATCATCTGGGGTTCCCTGTCTGCCATTACACTCCGGGGATTGTGCACTGGGGCCAGGTTCTCTGAGGTAGCAAAGAGGAGCCCCAATGCAACACAGAGATAGCGCCTGGTCTCAAGATGCAGTTCTGCAGTTCCACAGAGGCTACCCTGGAGCACTTCGCAGCCCAGGTGCTAAGAGAGTCTCGTCAATTTCTCTGCCAGGTACTGTTCCTGTCACAAATGGGGTCAATAGCTCCCTCTCCAGCAGTTACCGCAGTCTCCAGATCTTGGGACTCAGTGGCAAGGATCTGGAGCCCAGACTGCCTCAGAGTCCCTTGCTGCACTCCCTCTGCGGCCTTTACTGCTAGCATTCAGTCTGGCACTGTGGTGTTGGAGTCGGCAATCATTCCAGTTGTTCTTCCCAAGAAAAGCTCTGATGTTTTTAGAAAATAGTGCTCAGCTTCTGTGCTTCAGGAAGTACTAGGGCCCAAGCAGAGCAGCTACAGCACCAGCGACTTCACCAGGAGGGCCCTCACCACTTGCTCTTACGTCCCCACTCGTCAGCACTTCACGCTCCCACTTACAGAAACACATGCAGAATTGTCCATACAATCATTCACACACAGAGGACTTGTGCAATCTGACTGGTTACGCCACCATCTTCCCAAAAATCCTAATGTTAATTTTAATGCTAATTTAAGACAGCCCTATTTTCATTTTTAAATTGAGGGTTTTATGACTATAGAAGAAAGGGAAATGGATAATGAGGGAGAAATTAGTAGTTTCATTTCAAGAGGGTCTTTGAAAACTTTACAGATTTTTTTTTTTTTTTTTTTGAGTTGGAGTCTCACTCTATCGCCCAGACTGGAGTGCAGTGACCGCTCCCGGCCACCGCAGCCTCGACCTGCTGGGCTCCGGCATTCCTTCCGCCTCAGCCCTCCAAGTAGCCAGAATTACAGGCATACGCTACCACGCCTGGCTGATTTTTTTATTTATTGTAGAGATGACGTCTCGCTGCCCAGGCGGGTCTCGAACCCACGGGCTCAGGCAATCCATTCACCTCAGCCTCCCAAAGGCGCGGGATTACAGGCTGAGCCACCGAGCCCGGCTAATTTTATAGATATTACCTTAAATATGTCTATCATTGTTTGGAAATGAAATGAGGAATCTCTAGGGTTACACCTACTTTAGAACTAACTCATGGGTTTGTTAGTTTACTGGTGAATGTACTGACATTTATCATCCCAGAAGCTATAGATTTCATGCGGCCTTAGAACTATGACAGAAAGGATAACTAGAGCTATGCTTGTGTAATAATTCAGGGAGGTTTCTGCCACAGAAGAAAGGTCCCCTCAATCTCGATTTATAACCATATAATGCAACATGACATTTCGTATTGCAGTCCCAATTTCTCATTCATACATGCACACAATTAAAACCTGGTTTTAAAATTTGTGTTCCTAGTTGGGCTCGGTGTCTCAGCCTGTAATCCCATGCTTTGGGAGGCTGAGGTGAGTGGATTGCCTGAGCCCGCAGGTCCAAGACGCGCCTGGGTAACTTGGCCAGACCTCATCTCTACAATAAATCAAAAATTAATGGGCATGGTAGCACGCGCCTGTAGTTCCAGCTACTTGGAAGGCTGAGGTGGAAGAATCACCGGAGCCCAGCAGGTTGAGGCTATGGTGGCCGGGAGAGTGCCACTGCACTCCAGTGTGGTCGACAGAGTGAGACTCCAACTCAAAAAAAAAAAAATTGTGTTCTTATATATCCAAGAAATGTTATCCTATTGAACTGAGAGTTTCTCTAAATATGGAGCTATATTCTAGAGAGAAAATGGGTTAAATGGGGACTAGATCCCCTTTTCCTGTTTTTAACAGGTTGTTTTATTTAACTCTTTATGAGGCATATTTTTCCTTTCTTAAATGTTTGAAAGGACCCAGAGTACCAACAGACCTAGAAAGATGGCGGAGGAAGAGCAAAGGAAAATCCCTTTCATTCCAGAAAATCTCCTGAAAAAGAGGAAGGCTTATCAAGCTCTCAAAGCCACCCAGGCAAAGCAGGCACTTTTGGCAAGGAAGGAGCAAAGAAAAGGAAAAGGGCTCAAGTTTAAGCGATTGGAATTGTTCCTGTATGATTCCTGGTGACAGAAACGTGACAGTGTGCGTCTCAGAAGACTGGAAGTGAAACCTCATGCCTTGGAATTGCCAGATAAACACTCCTTGGCCTTTGTTGTACACATCCAAAGGATTGATGGGGTGAGTTCACTGGTGCAGAGGACCATTGCAAGACTTCACCTGAAGAAAATTTTCAGTGGTGTCTTTGTCAAAGTCACCCCCCAGAACCTAAAAATGCTGCGTATTGTAGAGCCCTATGTGACCTGGGGATTTCCAAATCCGAAGTCCGTTCGGGAACTCATCTTGAAACGTGGACAAGCCAGGGTCAAGAATAAGACCATTCCTCTGACAGACAACACAGTGATTGAGGAGCACCTGGGGAAGTTTGGTGTCATTTGCTTGGAAGACCTCATTCATGAAATTGCCTTCCCGGGAAAGCATTTCCAGGAGATCTCATGGTTCTTGCGCCCTTTCCAATTCTCAGTAGCCCGTCATGCTACCAAAAATAGAGTAGGCTTCGTCAAGGAAATGGGCTCACCTGGCTATCGGGGTGAACGCATCAATCAGCTAATCCGCCTGCTGAACTAGACCTAGAATGTCTGAAAGCACAGTGCATTGGAAGCACGTGTTTTTGTTTTTTGGAATTGATATCAAGTATCTTCAGAGAAGATTATATTTGGGACTCTTCCTTCAAAAACTGGAAGGAAAGGATCAGGGAAAAGATAGAAGATTATGTTAATGGCAGGCACCTCTCATCACAGTCCAGTTCCAAGGAAAAATTCCAGTGTTCTCCACGTTGGCTGCCCCCACCTTTGAAATCAATATATGTCATGCAGGAAGGAGTCTCACTTTGTCACATCTTCTATCCTGAGGTTCAGTATTGGTGAATGAATAAAGCAAGCATGTGTACAAGACTCCTGCAGCAGTGGACCAAGCCCAGGGGCATGCTTGAATCTGGGGGTTCCTGGGACCTTGCTTTGAAAAGACTTGAAAACACTTAGGAACAAGAGCACAAAAAAAAAAAGAAAAGAAAAGAAAAGAAAGGACCCAGAAGACAAAGGTCTATATTTTATTTATTTTTTGTTTCTCAGACACAACTGTAGTGGAGCATTGAATAGCAGGTACTTTATATTTCTAATTAAATGTACTGCTCATTTAAAGTTGTGGAATCTAACAGTATCATTATAGATGGTATAAAAAACTCAAAGCTGTATTCTTCCTGCTTTTCTTCAAAGCAAATTTGCCCACTCAATCAAGATAGAGCCTAACAGTTGAAATCAAAGTTGTCTCATTCTCCCTCCCTCAATCAATATTCTTAATTTCTGGTCTAACAAAAAGCACCACTGTCCTCAGAAAATTATTTAAATTGTGTAGAGTCTTGTAGACTGGTGATAAGTAAATGCGTTTCTAGTTCAGGTTTTAGGGCATCTTAGAGTGATTTCAATAAACTAAACAGGTATAGTAAAATTTTCAAAATGAATAATTTTTAATTTATTTTAATTTAGTAAATGAAGGTCTTAGTAGACAGTGGGGCTTTTTGGTTTGTTTGAGAAAGGGAAGGAGAGATGAACCAATGAGGAGAAGTAAAATGTTATATAATCAAATCAGTGGGTTCACTTTGTCAGTTTGAGCCTCATCATTATCTTTTCCACTAGACGGGGCAGCTTGCTGGTGACAGGGTCCCTCTCTCCATCTTCTCCAACCTCAGATCTCACAAGTGGTCCTGCCATATGCTGGTTATTCAACAAGTGAGTATTTGAAATGATAGAACAATGATGACTCATTCATTATAGTGACCCAAGGAAATAAAAATTATCCCTGAAATGTTGCCAATTTCCTTTTACCAAAGCTGGTTGAGTCAAAAAGATATTTGAACACAAACGATTTTAAGGAAATCACTGTTGCTTTTCACATACCAAACTCTTTTCAATGAAGTCTAATAATGGTTGCAATTCTCATTTAGAAATATTTCAGCAGTCCCTTGACTGGGTTCAAGGGGAAAGGTAAACGTAAGAAGATGTTAGCCTCTTCTAAAGTTGTAGATCAGAGAAGGGAGAAAAGAAAATAAAAGATGATTGCATTTGAGAACTTTGTGTTCTTCAATTGTAGATATTTCTCCTTCCCCCAGATGCACTTTATATCTTTAATTCTTCACTTATCACTTTTATTTCTTTCTAATTCAACTGAATTGATTATTTAATTCATCTGCCATCCTTGTTTTGGATGCCTCAATTCTTTAGATTGTCATTGAGAATTTTCCAGCTGAGTGTTTCATTTAATGAAATAAAAGTTTATTTCTTCAAGGCTTTCAAAATATTATTTGATTTGATTACTGATTATCTTCCCATCGGTTATTTCACCTTCAATTTAAATGGGTTGCTAAGCATTAGGAGCATTATTTGAACCAAACGAACTCACTCGAGTGCAAGCTACAAGATTCCTTCATGAACAGCCATGAATGACTGATGAGCATTTCAAATTACACATTTATTGGGTTTTTTTTGTGATAAATAAAACATTTTTTCTTTCCTGATTTGTAGAATATCCATATTTTTCCCATTTTATAGAATATCAAAAAATATTTAATAGGAGCTTTTAATTTAGAATTTCACCTCAAAATCTTCTGATTAGAACAGTTATTCTCAAACTTTTTATTTCCTTCATACTAAGAAATTATTGAGGACTCCCAAGGGGCTTTTTTTTTTTCATTAATCAGTATTTTTTATTATGGTTTTGTGGGGTACAGTTAAGGGTTAGGTGTACAATGACGTTTCATTCAGGCACCCTGTAGATAAGAAGTGTTTTCCCATCCCCCGACAGATATTTGCTACTGTTAATCCCATCCCCCTCCCCCCTATAGTTTCCCAGTACCATCCGTCATTTTCTCATAGTATTGCATTGGATGTTCAAGGTCCATTATATGAGTGAGAACATGTGATATTCGGATTTTTGTTTTTGTGAGAGGTCACTCAGTATTATAGACTCTAGTTCCATCCAGGTTGCAGCAAAATTCATGATTTTGTTCTTTTTTATGGCTGCGTAGTATTCCATCGTGTATATGTACCACATTTTTTTAATCCAGTCCTCTTTTGATGGGCAGCATGGTTGTTTCCAGGTTCTTGCTATTGTGAACAATGCTGCGATAAACATACGTGTGCAGGTATCTTTTTTATAGAGTGATTTGTGTTCTTCAGGGTATATTCCCAGTAGGGGGATTGCAGGGTCATATGGAAGGTCAATTTTTAGAGCTTTTAGGAATCACCACACTGCTTTCCACAGAGGTTGCACTAGTTTACACTCCCACCAACAGTGTAGAAGTGTTCCCTTTTCACCACACCCTCTCCAGCAGCTGTTATTTTTTGAGTTGTTGATAATTGAGGGACTTTTTTTTAATGTGAGTTATGGCAATTGATATTTACTTTAAACATTAAAATTTAGACATTTAAAGGATATTTATTAGTTTATTTTAAATTAATAATAAACTCATTGCAGGTTAACACAAAAGCATATAGTTATTAAAAATACCCATATTTTTGGAAACAACACCTTAGTGAGGAACATGACATTGTTTTATATTTTTTATAAAAATTCTTTAATGTCTGACTTAATGAAAGACATCTTGAATTCTCATACTGCTTTTGCAGTTAATCTGCTGCAAAATCTCGGATCACCTCTGGAAACCTCAACTGTGTACTTATGAAAGAATGAGAGTGGAAAGGGGCAAAACAGCTTTGACCTCATGAGCCTCAAGAGTCACCAGCCACACACTAAGAACTACTGGTTTAGAACAATTTGGTCCACGAGGAAAAAAGGTATAATATTCATAACTGAGAGTGAATCAATTTAGAATTGTAGGCATGAAAAGCATCTTCATTAGTTATTGGGACATAATCTTAAAATAATTCTCCACTGTTTAAGTTGTAGAAATAGAGATTAGTTTAAAATTCTGAAAAATTCCATATATGTGTTTGATGTTTTGTGCCAGTAATACAAGGAGATATTTATATATATACACACACACACACATACAGAGAGAGAGAAAGAACAAAATTGTAAAAAATGATAGTCCTCAGAGATTGTCATTTGTGACCTTACTACTTGAACTATTTACTGTCATCATTTACCTTACAGAGTCAACAAGGTACAATAGAAAGTACTCAAGGGGTTGAGTTCTAACTTTAGATTTAATTTGAGCAAGTTACTTTACACATCTTAGAGAACTGTGACTATAAGGATTAATCCCCCATCTCAAAATTTAGCACAGCTTTTGATGGACAGCAATGTTGAATTCCACCTGAAAACAGGTGGGGGCAGTGGTGAACTGCATGAGTAGGGAAGCTGCAAGGTCTTAGAGAAAGAACATGAGGCCAAATCCAAGCCTGATGCAGTGGTGGGATCAGACAAGAGGGAAGAGCAGAGCAACTGCAAGGTAAAAAGACACAGAAGCCAGAAACCAGGGTGAACACAGAATGAAAGGCAAAGAGCATGCTGCCAGGTCACAGAGGGGACAGTCAGATCAAGGCCAGGAACTAGGCACAGTTAGGGCCTGGAGAGGGAGCAAAAGATCCTGACAGAGAAACCTCAAACCCTGCCTGAACTTGATGAGGGATGAAACACTAAAAGGGGGTAGCTTGGGATAGCCACATCCAAAAGAAAATCTGTGGCCACAGAAAAGAGGGTGGGATAGGGAACTTTTCCCATGCTTCCACCCAGGCACCAGACAGATCCGGCCAGGGTGAAGTGAATGATGTCCCCCTTCCTTCAGTTCCTCCTACCTCTTCATCTTATAACAGAGGTACTGTTTCCAGTTCCAGAGGACTCGTTCCATAAAGAAAAGTAAGGCTGTCCCCACCGTGCATGACCAACTTTCCTAGTTTTCTTAGAATGGAGTGGGTTCCCTGGGAGATAAGACTTTCAGTTTTATAACTGGAAGAATCCTACGCAAACTGGGGTGAGTTGGCCACTCTTCCTCACACTATAACCACTCCTTCCCTAAGTGAACGAAGATATATCCCAAGTTGGCCTGATAAAAGTCCTCTCCAGGACATCCTGAGAGACATCAGCAAAGATAGTTCTATTATTCTGTCCAAACTAAATCAGTGGGAGGTTATATTACGATCTGCTGACAATCATTTCATCAACTACAGGGAGAATGTCTGTCTGAGAGACAGATAAATATCTATCTCCAATGAACACTTCAGTCCAACTGAGCTGGAAGCAAGCACTACCCAGAAAACCTTCAGCAATATGAGCTTATGAATTCTCTCTCCTACATAAATTTAGATGTGTCTTCTGACCTGGCTTTACATGGTGGGTATGTGAATAGAAGTCATACACTTATAGACATTTTAGCTCCAGAAACTCCTCTTACTTCATGAGACATTAGAGCTGACTGAGTTAAAAGCTATCATACATGACTGCCTAAATAGCAAACTCCTCTGCTTTATCCGGTGTCATATGATTCCTATCTAATATTGTTTTGATATGTGTGTTACATAACCTTTCTTTACTTGGTTAAGCCTGTTCCATGAATTCTTCTGCTGGTGTTGTCAGTGTTCTCTTCCTGCCCTAACTGTCCTCAGTGTCTCCTCATTCCTCTGTCTTAGCTCTTCTAACACTATGCCTTGCTCTAAATATTCAATCACATTTCCTCCAGTTGCCTGCTAGTATTAAGTGCTCCCAGTTCTGGCACTCTTTCTGAGTTCCTAGCTATAAACAATTCTCTTGGCCCTACCTGACTACACCCTGCCCAGGGCTAGCTGCCTTTGCTGTCCCTATTTGACCTCGCCTGCCTTAATCTTGGCACCAGGAAG